TAAAAAATAATAAAAAACAAACATACAGACGAATTGAGTACCTCCTTCTTTTGGGAAGTCGGTCAAAAAGGTCGCAAAAACTCAAAGTATTTTCATATCGTGTCTTTGACAATTTCTTATTATTAAATCTATTTTCCTTTCTTCTTCTATCCTTGAAAAATGAAGTCGATAATACATGAATGGCATGAATATATGATAATAAATATAAATAGTAAACTACGACAGAAAATTACTACGGAAAACTTTGAAACTTTTTCTGTTTTGCAAGTTTTTTGTTTTAAAATCGGCCGATATTGCAGACAGGAAAACTTAATCAAGTTTTAACAGCCAAAAACCAATTTACGAACACAATACAACAGGGAGGGGCATATCGCACGATTAACCTTAAGAACTAGTTATGTTAAATTCGTAGACAACTAAAAATAAAAATGAAACTGCGATTATCTATCATTTGTCTAGGCTTATCTATCGTATTGTAAATCTGATCGCTAAGTTAAGATTTTATTACTTGCTATTTAGTCGTAAATTTCTTGATAGTTGTATTAACCTCAATGATATTGTAAATAACTAACTATTAAACTATAATATTCAACAATATATTAATTAAGAATTTAATACCATACTATTGTAAACTAATAATTAAAATATAGAAAATAACACTATATGGCGATCAAAACTACTTAATTGTACATTCTAAAAAAATGCCTTGATTTAAACTCAACCTTTTATTATGCATTGTTTGATTCCAGGTAGAGTCTGTCTTGCAGTATAGTCTGGTTATATACTCTATGGGCTCCAGATATATCATCATCATCATCAGCCTTTATCTGCCCACTACTGGACAAAGGCCCTCCCCAATGCCTTCCACATAATACGGTCCCACGCTTTTCGCATCCAACCACAAAACATAGTTAGTATCTCCTATCTAAATTACAAAATAAGTACGAAAGACAGTATAAAACTGTAAAACGGACTCATCGGAACATAAGAGTAGTTGTAAACTACTTAAGTACTATAACTAGTAAAGAATATAGGAAGATACTTGCTGGGTACGATTCTAAGTCGCATTTGTACGTAAATACCGTTGGCCAGCGATGGTTTTTTCCATATAAATGCCATGCGAGGAAACTGAATGTTTATGGTGTTGTGTCTGAACTATAACATATAATAGATATCTATGGTTAGATATAACCATTCTAGTAAATAATATAATTAATGTAGACTTATTACAGGGTAGTTATTTTTCTATGTTAATACTTATAAATATTTTCACCTGTCAAATGGTCGCTTTCTATTTACGCAACGGGTAAACGAAATCGTACTGTTCCGTCGGCCTTCACAGTTTTAATTGTGCAACGCAAGTCGAGACTTTATCATTTATTTAAATTATGTGGTTGTATCGAACGGTGGCTAGCGTCTATAGGACCGGTTCACACACACAGCTACGCGGCGCTGTTGCTACTTGCTACACACGCCGCGCCGCCCGGGCTCGCTCGCCAACTCGCGGACGCCACGCAACTTGCCTTCTAAAGGGCTTCTAGCTCATCTATGTTTGACGTCAGAGTACTCACAGCCTTACAGGCTAATTATAGACTGCAAATTCCTAATATAGATACGCAAGCGAGGCTTAAAATACCCATTAAGCACGCTTCACGTCTTAGGAGTCAAGGAACGTTGCATCTAATGCTCACACTCCGCCTGGAAGTGGATTGGCAGGTTTATTTCTGTTCCACGAGACTTATATACGGAATTGGAATTCATCGAGATTTTAATCTCTCAACTTACTTTGATATAATAGTTTCATTATTACTGTGGATTTTCACTGCCGAAACATACATATGGACAAAACAGGCATTATCCCTATGCTTTTGTACAGGTATCTCCGCAGTGGAAATTCACGGTTAAGATATGTTGAAGATAATACATATCTGCTATTGGCAAGCCGTAATTGAAGAGGTGGTACAGAAGAGCAGTGGACCGTGCCCGACCGACCCATCGCGCTCCTACACGCTCTGATAACGACCAATCGCAGCCACCTTGAATATTATAACATGATAATGTTTTTAAAGTTCCTAGCAGTTCGTTGCATTTACCTAGATTTTTGTAATTCCATTCCACTTATAATAATTTCGATGGATGAAATATAATCAGTAGTTGTCAAAACTCATTTCCATGGCGGTTGATATTTCCGTTCAGGTTTTCTTAGCCAAAATAAACGTAGGAAAGTTTTAATAAAGTAATATTAATTATTACTTAATTTAATTGATAACACGTCATGATAAGCTAATTTTCATTTTTTACACTTATTAGGAAGAATATCCCAGACATAATAAACAGGTCAAGAACGTAACAGATTGTAATTCGTCTAAATTACCACAAGAATTTAAACATTGTGAAGCGTACGTGACTGGCGTATATTCATGGCCTATTTGCAATGTTTTTAAACTCTTGTTTTTTTTTACTTTGTACACTTGCATTATTATATGAAATCTGTCTGGTCCGATCAATTTATTTAGAACTTCTTTATTCATGTTTTCTCGGCTTACATTCATGATATGTAGAACTCAAAAACTTATTAATAATAAGTCGACCCAGCTGTTCTTGAACATAACCATAAAAATAAAATAATTTACGACCACTAACTAAGTTTTCCACTTCAACATTTATAACATTTAATTCTCAATGTCATATTGAAATAAAGTTTGATTTATGTATAAAGTTAATTAATAAAAGCGTTTATAAAAGATTTCCATGTCGACATTATATTATGGTCCTATGTTGTTTACATTGTTCTTTAAAGGTTCCCAAAAAGTGTATTTTGAATCTTATTGTATTACTGAAATATTTTAATCTTATTAAGTTGAGTTACCTTTATTATACAGAATAATATAAGTAATTAGACTTTTGGTAGAGCATCACTGTTTTAGGCGTCCACGGAAAGTTTTAATAAAAAATTTCATTAAGAAATGTAGAACTTTTAAAGTACTATACATCAATTTGCTTCCAAACAAATTTAATTATAATAAAACACATCTACCATAAGTTAATCTTGAATGATTTAGATGTAAACTTGACAAAATAAAATGGTAGGCGCTTTTTGCAATGTATGTTCACACGACACAGAACAGAACACAAAACAATAGATGGAGTAGAGATTGGTAAAAGGCAATAATTAACAAAAGGTAAATAAACAGATGAATTATTAAAGACACAAGGTATTGGTAACAAAACATGACATTTACATCGGGCGGTTTTTTAACGGACAGTACTGACTTCTCATGTTATGTACGTATCAAAGAAACCACTCAATACTGTTAAGAGGCTGTTTTTATAGTAAATTCAGAAAAGCTTTATGGATTATTAGTGTTAGTTGTAAACATAGGATGTAACTACCAGAGTTAAGGAAAATGTGCGAGCAGGCAGGAGCATTGAGAAGTGAACAGTGAGCAGCGAGCATAGACAAGTAAGGTACAGGTAACGTACGTGGATCATGGCACGTGGTGCGGGCGGAGAGCGCGCTGGCGCTGGG